AACCGCTGAACTGCAGATAACAGTCAGCTGAAGTGGCCTGCAGTACTGTACTCTAACCACTGAGCCACCTCGGCTCTTGCTAACCTTTCCCAGGAGAATTTATTAAACTTGTTGACTCTGGCTGGAGATACCTAGGGTCGAAACCAAACTTTACAGGTTAACATCAGTATTTTCAGTTGTATCTGGAAATCTAGTGAAAGCCAATGAAGAAAGCCTGGAGCAAAGATCTTACAGGGCTGTGGCGGCTCTCACTCAATAAACGGGTTACTACTTTTGTACCAGCTGCTGTTTCTGAAGCAGCACTGAGCAGCATGCTGCAGTAGTCTAACTGCAGGTTGGTGAAGGCCTGGGCTACTTTAGCCAACATCTGGATAGACATAGAAGTGCTTTTAAACAATTAGTCCTGTTTGTAAGCCATTTCTTTCTCTTTTGCTTCCTTCCATTGTGTAGAGCAGAGGCGCCCAGCCTTTTGGGTACAAGGGACTGATTCTGCAGAGAGAGCTTTTTCCGCAGACTGGAAGGGGTATGGTTTCATGTGCTGCCTACATCCCACAGATGGGGCTTTTACTTGTTTGCCCAGACCAGTTTCTGCCATGCCATAGACTGGTGCCATCCATGGACTGGGGCCTGGTGTAGGGAGCCGAGAACTCTTTGTTCATTCCAGAGTCCTCTCTCATTAATGAAAATCTTTTCTAGCGATGACCCTGCCCCGTGGAAGGCTTTTGAAAGCAAGGTGAAATGTCAAACTTTGCTGGAGCATAATCCTTGCTGAAGAAGAAAGAGGAGGAGGGAAAAATAAACGTCAAGCAAAAAGTAATATGTCTTGATCTCCTTTTTCCCATAAAACCTTGGGAGGCTAGTGGAAGGAGTGGAAAGGCTGAACTAAGCCTGCAGGAAATTAAACATGAAATGAAAATAAGCTAAAGCCTTTCGGCTCTCTTATCCCAAGCTCGAATTTCCCATTCCAAGCCACTGATAAAATGGTGTCCAGTTTCAGTGATTAAAGATGAATTCTGGCTCTTTTCCTGTACTCAAACAAGAGAACAAAGCTCTTGCCCTCTAAAGGAAAGGGAAGGATAAGCTGGATGAAAAGCAGGGCTAGGGAAGTGTTTGAAAGAGTCAGATGAGGCAAGAAACAGTGATGATGACAAAGAGCCTGATGATATGTGGGTGTGGGAATGTGGTCTGTATGAGTGATAACTCACTTGGAGTATGTTAGGGATGAATCGTGTGTTAAGAGTCATAAAATATAATGATAGATAGATAGATAGATAGATAGATAGATAGATAGATAGATAGATAGATAGATAGATAGATAGATAGATAGATAGATAGATAGATATTCCTGCATTAAGTGCGGTTCTCCTTTTTTTACCAAAATGATACCACCAATGTACAAAGAGAAAGTTCTAACAAGCTTGAAATTCATTTCTTTAATGAAATGTATAGGAACAGATGTTTGTTTCTTTTACAGCCCAGGGAAAGTTTGTCAGGACCATTGCATGCTGAGGTTAAAAAATCCAACTCCTTATTAAAAACTTAACTAAAAAGTGGGAAGAAGAGAGCAAAAACAATCCAGCCTGTCAAGTGATCTTCTTGGATTAAGCTTCTTGGTTTGCTTCCATTTTTTTTCCTCTGCTGGAGGAAAACAGCATATTCCAGTGTTTTTCAATCTTAGCAATTTTAAGATCTCCAGACTTCAATTCCCAGAATTCCCCAGTTAGCAGGTTGGGGAATGGTTCATGGTTCTCTTATTTAAAGCATACATAGTTTATAGTTGTGGTGGCAATAACAATAGTAGAAATAGCATATGGAAATTCTACTGCAATCTAACTAAATGGTGTTCTCTACCACATGAAGTACTGTCAACCTTTTTGTAAATAGTTTTCCCATTTATCTAAAACAAAGAAAGTGGCCAATTTAAAGTGGGTGGCAGTAACTTAAGTCAACTTGGATTGATCTCAAAAGTGAGAGGATAATAGGAAGTCAAGAATCAAATTCAACTTGAAAGAGGCATTATTATTAAAAGGAAAAAGATTTTTTTCCATATACCTGATGAAAGATTTCTTGCCAGAACCAATTTTCCTTCACAAATTTGTGAAATGGCAATGTGGAAAATATTAAGGTTTCTCCCAATATTAGGTGCCAGGGCTGATTAATTCCACTCTCTCTAAGACTGTGGGTGAGAGCAAGCAAGATGTCACATAAAGTCCGTATTATGGGGGTAAGTAAACATTGGTGATCTGTAGCCATTGTAAGCAGTTCTAAGTAGCAGTTGTAGTTGGCCGTATTATATAGGTCTGTCTATAACATAGTGTATAGTTGTACTCAATGGTGATGCCCATCTTCTTCCTATTTTAGATATCTTCATTAGCATTATAAGCAGGGTTGAAATCCAGAAGGTTTTGACAGGTTCTGGAGAACTGGTAGCGGAAATTTTGAGTAGTTCAGAGAACCAGTAGTAGACATTTTGAGTCATTTGGAGAATTGATAAATGCCACCTCTGGCTAACCCCAGAGGAGGGTGGGAATGATACTGATTTTGCAGTATCATTCCCCTGCCATGCCCACCAAGCCACACCCACAGAACCGGTAGTAAAAAAATTGAACTTCACCACTGATTATAAGCCCATTGATGCATAAGGAAAATGGCTTCTTTTCTTTCTCATGTGGGAGAGGAAAGAGTTTAGAAAGAAGGTGTCCTAAAACAGAGTAAGGGGGCATTCTTTGACAGCTGAACATGTCAGTGCTGGGGAAGACAAAAGTCACAACCAACAGGATAGTGGCACAAAGTGGGAAAGGACTAG